AACAGACCGCCCCCCCCCCCCCCCCCCCCCGGTATGCTCCGTCCTCTCGAGGACGCGTGGTCAATGGTCTAACCGCCAAGGCATGCAAAACAATTGAGTACGCCTCACCCTCCCCCCACCCCCCGGACAGAACAACACAAAGCTCACTCTTCTGCCGCTGCTCCGGGCTGAGCTCGAGGTTGCAGCACTCCGGGTGGAACCAGCCCCCGCAGCCCCCCGTCCCGTCGGAGCACTCCACCATGAAACCCTCGTCCGAGCTGTGGCAGACGCAGTAGATCGAGCTCCCGGACACGCCCCCCGGCACCGGACCAACGGTAGTAGCCTGGCTGCCGCCACCGTTGCCGTTGCTGTTGTTGTTGCCTGGGGTAGTCTTGCCCCCGCCGACGGATGCTCCTCCCTGCTTTGGAGAGGCGGGCTTCTTCGCTTTGGCCTTGCCAGGCTTTTCGGGAGGGTGGGGTCGGGTGGTGTGGGGTGGGGTGGGGGGGGGTCAACCTTTGATTTCGAGGGGGTGAGGGGGATGTACTCATAGTCGTGCATGCCGTAGTCGCTACACCATTGACCTCGCATCCCTACAAAGCCGGGACGGAGCACGCCGGGTTCTCACCGGACCAGCGGGGGGGGGGGGGGGGGGGGGGAACCACAATCCCCCCATCCCGGGGCCTTAAAACCTTTACCCCCCCTCCCCACAAAACCCGGGGAAAAAACCCCCGGTTTTCCCCCGAACCAGGTCCCCCATTCCCAAACCCCAAAACCCCTGGGGGAACCCCCCAAACCCAAAAAAGGGACCCCCCCCCCCCCTTAAGGGGTTTCCCCTCTTTTTTTTTTTTCCCTTGCTAACGAAAAAACCCCCCCAAAAAATTATTTTTTTTTTTGGGCTTTTCCCTCCCAAAAAACTTTTAAAAACCTTTTTACTCCCCCAAGGGGCTTTACCCAATTCCCCCCACCGGGGGCGAAAACCCCCTTTTCCCCGAAGGGGGAATTTTGACCCCCCAAAAAAAAAACTTCCCCCCCCCCCTTTTTTGGTTCCCCCAAAAAAAAAAACCAAAGCAAAAAAAAAACCGGAACCCTGTTTCCCAACCC